TGGCTACCATCAGTGTGTGAGTGTGTGTGTGAATGGGTGAATGAATGTAGTGTAAAGCGCTTTGGTCAAGTCTCCTAACTTGAATAAAGGTGCTATATAAGTACATGCCATTTACCATTTACCATATTTCAGGATCTCCACAAGGGTGGATCCAGGGTCCATAAAGACAAAAACAAAGCAAACACAGGTTTTCAAAAGAAAACCCATTTATAAAATGAAGAGGGTTACAGACAAACCTGAGCATCCTCTCAGGCTGTTATATAGCCACAGATAACCTTAAAGCAGAGGTGTCCAGAGTTGCTGTAATATATAGACTGCATTTACCCATCCCCTTAGGAAGCAGTGGGCTGCCATTGTGCGGCACACAGAAGCAGTGTAACGTTAAGGGTCTTTTGCTCAGGAAGCCAGAGTGGCAGTCTGTGGGTGTGGGGCTCAAACTCAGTAGCGCAATGCCCTAATCACAAGGCCACCACTCCCATGAAGAGTCTTGCCTAGGGACCCACACTGGAAGCTCATTCCCCCCAGCTGGGATACAAAACCAGGCCTCTTGGCAGGACGGATGACTTACCACTTGAGCTAGCCGCAAAAAAACTCCTATAATATGAGTAAAGACATTTGTTTTCCTTTACGATTAAGACATTTTTGAGTTGAGTTCAATTAAGTTCAATTTAACTGAACTATGACAAGCAAGAAAGCCTTAGAAGGAGATCCAGAAAAGAGTTAATGAAGGCAAATCAGGGGTCATCCAGACAAGGGATAGCACTGGAGACTGGTCCATATGATATTGGAACACAAAACGAAATGGAGACAGAGCTGCTGGGAGCCAGAACCTGCTGAGAAGATATGGAGAGGACTGCATGAGCTGCAGAAATCCATAGGAAAATTTTTTATAAAGCTCTGAAGAAAAGCATGGAAGCCCAAAAACGCTCTGCAGAGCTCATTAAGTGGAGTCATTGCAAGTTGAACAGAAGATTCAGATTGCAAAAATATGATGACGGGTCAAGGGTGCAGATATTGAAAATGATGATGAGCAAGAGGTGCAGATGCTGAGGACACTTGGGTCTTTGAACAGGATGAGGATCATGGGATTAAAGTACAAGCCGGCAGGGTGGGATCCTCTGAAGTTAATGTAATCTATGGCAAGAGGGGATGCTGAGACAAGTGATGGAGAAGACTGGAATAGGGTTGAGGCACAGAGCTTTACTAACCTTCATGGAGAAAGATGAAAGTGGTGAGAATAGGTTCTGACTTAAAGGCAGCAAAATAACACTGACATCCTTACCGACAGTCTAGTGGTCTGCAATTAGCAGATGGAGAGGAACAGCAATGCTATGGAAATTGTAGTCAAGTTAAGATCCCAGAAAGGCAGTGGCAGTTCCATAGTCCTTGAACCTGGGCATATTTTCTACCCCTCTCCACCAACAATACCCCAGTAAAGTTAAAGTCTATTACAAGAATATGGACTTTTTATCTGGGTGGATCCTTCTCTCATATTGAGTTGGATGGGTTGAAGACCAAAGTGCAGAAAGGAACATGAAATATGCATCATGAAGATTTTATTATAATTGCAAAGGGCAAACCTTCAATAACGTAAGACATGGAGCTCTGGTGGAGTGGACAACAGGTAACAGTGACAGGGTCTTTTGCTCAGGGAGCCAGAGTGGCAGTGGGAATGGGACTCAAACTCAGAAGTTCAACGCCCTAATCTCTAGGCCATCATTCCCATGAAGAGTATTGCCTAAGGACCCACACCAGCAGCTCATTCCCCTACAGCTGGGATACGTACCCAAGCCTCCTATCTGCAGGATGGTTGACTTACCACTAATGTGAGTTAAGACATTTGTTTTCCTTTAAGATTAAGACATTTTTGAGTTAGGTTCAATTAAATTCAATTTAACTGAATTACAACAAGCAGGTAGGCCTTGGAAGGGGAGCCAGAAAAGAGCTAATGAAGGCAAATCAGGGGTCATCCAGACAAGGGATAGGGGTAGAGCAGCTCTGGCAGCACAGGACATGGTAACCCACAGAGCGCTAAATAGGTAGTTAGAGCCCACAGCAGAGCACTGGAGACTGGTCCATATGATATTGGAACAGAAAACGAAATGGAGACAGAGCTGTTGGGAGCCAGAACCTGCTGAGAAGATTTGGAGAGCATTGCAGGAGCTGCAGGAATCCCTAAGAACGTTTTTTATAAAGCTTTGAAGAACAGCATGGAACCCAGATGGAGAGCAACAGCAATGCTATGGGAATGGTAGCCAATCCAAAATCCCAGAAAGACAGTGGCAGCTCCATAGTCCTTGGACCTGAGCATATTTTCCACCCCTCTCCACCAACAATACTCCAACAAAGTAAAAGTCTATTCCAAGAATATGTTGTTTTTTTTTTTATCTGGGTTGATCCTTCTCTCATGTTGAGTGGGTTGGGTTAAGGACCAAAATGCAGAAAGGAACATGGAATATGCATGATGAAGATTTTGTTATAATTACAAAGGGCAAACCTTCAATAAAGCAAGACAGCGAGCTCTGCTAGAGAGGAAGAAAGGTAACAGTGACAGGGTCTTTTGCTCAGGGAGCCAGAGTGGCAGTCGGAATGGGGCTCAAACTCAGAAGTGCAAAGCCATAATCACTAGGGCACCACTCCCGTGAAGAGTATTGCCTAAGGACCCACACTAGAAGTTCATTCCCCCCAGCTGAGATACAAACCCAGGCCTCTTGTTTGCAGGATGGGTGACTTACCACTTGAACTAGCCAGCCGCATAGAAACTCCTGTAATATGAGTAAAGACATTTGTTTTTCCTTTAAGATTAAGACATTTTTGAGTTGGGTTCATTGAAACTAAATTTAACTGAATTATGACAAGCATGTAGGCCTTGGAAGGGGAGCCAGAAAAGAGTTAATGAAGGTAAATCAGGGGTGATCCAGACAAGGGATAGGGGTAGAGCAGCTCTGGCAGCACAGGACATGGTAACCCACAGAGCGCTAAATAGGTAGTTAGAGCCCACAGAAGAGCACTGGAGACTGGTCCATATGATATTGGAACAGAAAATGAAATGGAGACAGAGCTGCTAGGAGCCAGAACCTGCTGAGACGATTTGGAGAGCATTGCAGGGGCTGCAGGAACGTTTTTTATAAAACTTTGAAGAACAGCATGGAAGCCCAAAAACGCTCTGCAGAGCTCATAAAGTGGAGTCATTGAAAGTTGAACAGAAGATTCAGATTGCAAAAATTATGATGACGAGTCAAGGGTGCAGATATTAAAAATGATGATGAGCAAGAGGTGCAGATGACACTTGGATCTTTGAACAGGATGAGGATCATGGGATTGAAGCACAAGCCTGCAGGGTGGAATTCTCTAAAGTTAATGTAACTATGGCAAGAGGAGATGCTGAGACAAGTGATGGAGAAGACTGGAATGGGGTTGAGGCACAGAGCTTTATCAACCTTCATAGAGAAAGATAGAGGTGGTGAGAATAGGTTTTGGCTTCAAGGCAGCAAAATAACACTGACATCCTCACAGACAGTCTAGTGGTCTGCCATTAGCAGATGGAGGTACAACAGTAATGCTATGGGGATGGTAGCCAAGTTAAAATCCCAGAAAGGCAGTGGCAGCTCCATAGTCCTTGGACCTGAGCATATTTTCGACCCCTCTCCACCAACAATACTCCAACAAAGTTAAAGTCTATTCCAAGAATATGGACTTTTTATCTGGGTGGATCCTTCTGTCATGTTGAGTTGGATGGGTTAAAGACCAAAGTGCAGAAAGGAACATGGAATATGCATGATGAAGATTTAATTATAATTACAAAGGGCAAACCTTCAATAAGGCAAGACATCGAGCTCTGGTAGAGTGGAAGACAGGTAACAGTGACAGGGATAATGACGGGAAACAACTTGAGGATCCAACTGACTAAAATGATGAAGGGGCAACTTAAACACTGTGCAAAGGCAGAAGGTCAGCAGAGAGACGGAGGGAGGCCGATTCACTAAGCGGAATTAAGACAACGGGAATCAGTTAACAAAGATGAAAAAACAAATACTAACCTCTGGCAATAAAGTACAATACATAGGAAACAGAACACATGAAAGACTAAACTTACTAATCTAAAAGAAATCAACAGAAAGGAATTTATCAATATATGACAAGAATGTTTCAATCAAATCAAAGATGATGAAACCAGAGACGCATAAAAAACAAACTCAAACACCTGTTGAATATAACATATGACTTCTGAAAAGTAGACAAATACATAACCAAACTGTACTGTCTGTTCTGCATAGATTACTGCAAACTTGAAAATCAAACTTCTGGAAAAAGATTGAATGAATTACTTCCATATAAACAATGTTTTTTTTGTTTTTTTTCTTATTTCATCAATTTCTGTTGACTTTAGCATAGCACTCTCTTAGTCTCTTAGACTTTTTCTTCTGCAAGAAACAAGTAGCATCACTAAATTTATAATTGGCATTGTAATAATAATTGCAATGCCAGTTTTTTACTTTATTACTTTAATAAGCTAATATTCACATCAGACCAAACAACTTTTTTACAATGTTAGTCTTTTGGGTTTAGATTCTTACTCCATTTCTTGTGTTCTGTTCCCAACATATGTATTTATTACTCTGACACTATTTGTATAGTTCAGCTCTTTTTGTTTTAATTAGTCTCCCTTGGTTTCTCTACTTACCTTTTGCCTCAGCTGCTCCTCATTAACTCCAGATTGACACACCAGCCTCCAGAATCTTCTCCTCAATCATTAAATTCAGCCATATTGCAATAAAATGTAAATATGGATGCTTACAAATGCACATAATCTTTTTTTATGTATTAACCTTTGTAAGCCATTGATCTATTAAACACAACCCCCCCCCAAAAAAAAAACTTTTAGATTTTGTGTAACATGACCAATATTTTAAAGTTCAAGAAAGACTGTAAAAGCTTTTAGATTAAGGTAATTTTCATTGATTCTTTGTCAAGAGATTAAGGGTGTTCGTTAACCTTACCTGTAAGGAGATTCAGGATCAAAGCATGTCTTAAGGACATCTGTGACGTCTGGATCACAGCAGTCCCCATCATCGTAGTCATAGTGAATGGTGTTGCACTCCATGTCACAAACCCCATCCTGTCTTTTCCAGTTATAACAGTGCCCTAGCCTGAGGCAGTCACCTCCATCATGGCCGGTCCTTGGGTGGTCACATTCGGCGTCACACTGCCGGTTCCCAATCTTGCCAATTCGACAGTTACTAAGAATGAATCTCTTTCGAAGGCTGGAGTTTTTCACATTGTGGACACTTAGCTCCAGGGTGATGTTGTAAGGCCGAAAGGCCTCATTTAGAGCCTGATGCTGGGCCTGGATCTGGGCGGGTGTCACAGTTGGATTCCCACCATCATCGTCTGAGAGATTGACAATGCGGTAGCGAATGTGTTTCGGGGTGCGAAGCTGCCAGTTGTTATTGTAGCCAGAGATGATGTCTGTGTTGTCGCAACTTGTCAGGCCACATGCTGGTGGGAGGAAGGAGGAGACAAGCTCTTGCTCTGGTACAGGAGTGGTGATTACATTTGGATGAAGGGCAGCTTTGTATGGAGTCCACAGTCGGTCCACCTTAAAAACAGATGCAGAATGTAAATATTTTGGTTACATTTTATCCTGTGTAAGAGACATGTTCCGGAATGAACTGACATTAATTTAAATGTAACTTAGCTTTTTAGATCTGTTTTTGTAATGTATGAAAAGACTTAGTTGTTTGTGGGTGAAGGACAATACATTTGTTTATTTACATTGGAGAAATCCGCCCACATGGCCAAAACTGGTTCATTTAAGTCGATTTGAAGTGGTGGTTTCAGTAGGTCCTCATGCGAGCGAGCATAACCCCACAGGATCACTCCTCCAATATGGCCTCTAAAGCTCTGACCCAGATCAGACTGTTTACTGCCAAGAAAAAGAGTCCTGCAAGTCTGCATGAAGGGACTGTAAAGATCCCCAGACTGGAGGCTGCTTTCTCCCATCTATGAAAAAAAAAATGGGATGAATTTATTTTAATTTCACATTGCATTAATATTGGAAAAAATATCAAGTTACAAGTTTTCAGAAAAAAACATTTCTGGACAAAAGCTTAAACACATTCGACATCCAAAAGATTGAAAATAAAATTTTGGGTTTAATAAATAATTTCTGCCTGAAAATAAAAAGGAGAGGAACTCAGGTCTTTAAGCAAACTTTAGGTACCTGTCTACAGGTGACGCATAAAAGTATTTTTTTTCCTTAGTGAGGTTAAATAACTTTAAACAAGCTTTTTTCTTATCTCTGAGGAATAATTCATAAAGAGTGAACCACACAACTGAAAACACTCATTTGGACTAATTGTAAATGTTGCTATCATTATTTTTTTCAGTGCTCATCAAGCTTAAGAACAGCATAATTTACCCACCTTAGCCCCATCTACATACAGGGTCATGTTGTAACCATTGTATGAGGCCATCAAATGAGTCCAGACATTAGCCCGGTACCGCTGGTGGCTGTAGACAGTTGTGGATTTCACAGCTCTGTCTGTGCGTAGCGTGAAGTAGAACCGTGCATCTTTGGTGCCGCCTGGCTCCACGGTGCGAATGCCAACCGACCAGCCCTTCTCGCTCAGTGAATGCGAGCAGTTGTCAAACACACCTATGGGGTAGGGGGAAAGTTGTTGAACCTTAGAATAATCCCTAGTGAGCAAATGTTTTTTCACAACAAAAAAAGTCTGTAAACGAAAACAAGTGAATGCAACTTTATGCAATGAACGATGGAAGCGATATAGTCACAGACAACGATAGAAGACACGGAGTCAAAGACAGTAGAAGGAGAATATTCAATGGAAAGAAAGACAGGGACTTTTTAACTAAAGCAAGGAAATGCTCTGATGTTTCCATCTGCTGTTGCAACAGTCTCAGACATACATCTGCTCTCCAGATGTCAAACAACTGGGACAGGGAAGGGTCAGGGAACCCCTTCACCCTCCGCAGTGTTGTACGCATGATTGTGAAAAGCAAGATACTGCAGAGGCATGTTCGGATGGATTCAAGCCAGTTTAGGTTACTCCCATATATTCAGATGATCAGATTTATAAAGCCTATTAAGTCATAAAGTATATAATCAAAAACTGCTACCATGTGGTGGGACCGTGCCATAAAAGGCACTCTAAAGCAAATATTGTCACTTTAAGCCTTGCATGACCAGACACGTAGGTCATCCCCTGGGAAAAATCTGTTAAAAAGTTTTACAGTGCTGTGGATGTATTATTGAACGGCAAACAACAGGAAGAGGGTGTTGTTTTTGAAGTGGTTCATGCAACACCAGATGAGAACATTTTATTTGAAATGCAAAAACAACAAAGTTTATGGTATAATCTGTTCTTAATTTGGAGAGACATTTGCACTACCAGGCATTATCATGATCATTACACTGAACCAAATCAGATGCTGATGTTTTAAAGCTGTATTTATTTTGGATGCAGGCCACCAAAGCACTGGCGGACGTGTTACCAAACAGTTGACTATTTACACATTTTGCAGCTGGGCCTAATTTTGTTTGTAGCTACTCCAATATTAGCTTCGCTCCAACTCTCAAAAAGGAAATCTTGGTTCTTTTTGTTGCTAAATGTTCTGCTGTGTTCTCCAGCTTGATCCTTACTTAGTCTGACAGCTGTTTGCTCGCCGGCTCTTTCGTGTGCAGTTTGAGAAGATTTGTTTCTTAGTCCTCATATTCAGTGCCTATATCCAACATATCAATTAAGTATGCCCAATCTCATTAAACGCAGGTGAATAATACTTGGAAATGCAATTAGATGTGCAGATAAGGTCTAGTTGGATTTGTTTAATTAAGGAGTAGTGGCCTAGTGGTTAAGGCATAGAGCTTGGAGTCTCCCACAGACTGCCACTCTGGCTCTCTAAACCCCGATTGCTCCCCGGGTTGCCCCATGATGGCAGCTCACTGCTCCCCAAGGGGATGGGTTAAATGCAGAGGTAAATTTCTCTAATGTGAGATCAATTAAGTTATATTACTTTATAATTTTTTATTAGAGTTCATTTCAAAATAGTTAATAGCATCATCCAAGCTTCTTTAAAGTACAGCAAAGTCTAAAGTTTTGCATTGTTCCAATTAAACAACTGAAGAAGCTTGACATATTGTTACTTAATTAAGCAACACGTAAAATCAGTTGAAAATATTGGCATAGCATTCCGTAAAAATTCAAAATTATCCACTGGACTTGGTTTTCAAAGATTTGAAGACGTTTCGCCACCTCTCCAGGAAGCTTTCTCAATTCAAGTGTCTGGATCCGCAGTGAGTTTGAGTCTTATATGGACAAGGCCTTGTATTACTTGGAAACATGCAAATGGTAACCGATGAATGGGTCGTTTAGTTTAGATATTACAGGCTAACGATGGAACTAAACGACCCATTCATCGGTTACCATTGCATGTTTCCAATATCTGAACCTGTCTATGATTCATAGACAGGTTCAGATATTACAGGCTAACGATGGAACTAAACGACCCATTCATCGGTTACCATTGCATGTTTCCAAGCAATACAAGGCCTTGTCCATATAAGACTCAAACTCACTGCGGATCCAGACACTTGAATTGAGAAAGTTTCCTGGAGAGGTGGCGAAACGTCTTCAAATCTTTGAAAACCAAGTCCAGTGGATAATTTTGAATTTTTACGGAATGACTATGACCTGGATGACTGAGAACCTTCATCAGCATATTGGCATATCATATTAAGTTAAAAACACTCAATTTAAACACAGAACTGCATCCTTTATGACAAGTTAAGGCATGCCTGTGAGAGCAAGACTTTTAGCAGATAACAGGAAGGTTGAAGAGAGCCCAGCAAAAGGTTTCTGTGTTATCTCATCAAACTTTCAACCTCTGTCATGCAATATGAAGGTGAAGATGGCAGCCTTCTGTAAATCCCAGAGGTAACAATTTGCATTTGCTGGTTAAAAACAAATCACTGTGGTAGCTATGCTGGTCGCATACTAGTCATGATGCTGTAAGATGCAAACGACAGCGTCCATACCTTAGTTTAAAGTCACTGCTTTCTCAAACATCATCTTTAAAAAAAAAGCAATGACCTCTTAAAATCTGCACAAACTAGAATCTGCTAAGCTTTACAACAAGCAGAGATGAGAAATCATTTACAAAATTTCTTATAGGTGCACCTCCATTATCAGTGTGGTAAAACTAACCATTTAAGGATCATCAGGAGTCAAGCTGGTGTTGGTCTTGTGTCTGCCAGACACAATAGGAAGTTGTTTTTCACTGTATTTGTCGTATTTCTTCAGGACACTACAAAGAGAAGGGCCCGTGCCACAGAAAAATGCTGCTCTAACATAAGGAAGCGATGAGAGGGAAATAGTTGACTAATGCAATAGGATCTTTGATCAGAGTAAATGTGAGTGGACATAACAGTTTGCGGTCTCCCTTTCTATCTGGACAGCTGCAGTGTTGCACCCTAGCGCTTTTATCCTCTTTAATTTGGTTGATGTATGTGTTTGTCTGTCAGGCGGGGCAAATTTTTAAATACAATACATTCTTCAAGCTGGAAAAAAAACCCAGATATTTTTTCATCATGTGAAGAGGAAAAGGGGAAGCTTCCTTTGAAACAGAGTGTTTGTAGCCCCACTTTAATGCATTTAAATTGCTTACTTAAGAAAAGTCTGTGGAGGAATCATGAGTGAGACGGACTGAATGTTTCTGGCTCTAAGATGTAAAGTTATGGTTGCTTTAAAAAATATATATTTTTTCAGTCTGGAAATATGCCAAGGTTATGGAAAACACAGAGAGCAGTGGTATGGAAACTTTAAGAGCTTCACCTATGACTCTTATTAAACTACGGTTGACAAACTAAGCACAGCATGACTCATAAAAATGGTTCACAAAAGCTACAGCTTCTGACCCACAAATAGTGGAACCTACACGGGGCCCTTTAACGAGTATAAAGGCATTTCAATTAGGCAGATTCAGTCGGGTTACATTGTCAACACAGCATTCATACTAGAGCAGCAAGTTTCTCGGTTTCTCATCTATACTTCCAACATTGAACTTTCTCAACTGCAGCATACTCTGTCCCAAAGAATGCATACTACTGTTTATTAGTATGCAAATAGAGAATTCATGACACATGTAGATATTAATAGTGTGAAGAGTCCTTAGTGGTATTAAAATTACACACATGGATATTGTGATATATTTGCAATTTTTTTGCAAGGATTGAGCAATCCTTCTGATGAAGAAAGAATATTAGACCAAGTATGAAGCTTTGTGTCCACCTGACTGTAGTATAGTGTTGATGTGACCCCTGATATAGGGTCAAAGGAGTTTCTCTGATATGATGGGATTTCCCAAGACCTGCAGGGTTTATGGTGCATTCAAGCACAACTAATAAAATGGACTCCTTTTGTTTGATAAAAAAAAAATCGCTATTTAAGTGTTTAGTTTTTGTTTTTTTAATTCCATATGCTTATGAAAACTCATCCTAACTAACACAATCATGGTGTGAAATGTATCCAACAACCTCAGTAAGTTTTCCACACCTCTGATATTGCAGCTATTTTCACATTTCCATTGCTGTAAAAATGTCCATAGCTGTATATTGGTTATTTATTCTCAAGGCGCACATTATTTATATTGTAAAAACACTTTACAGCACAATATTTTATTTTCCTTTTTTCAACTCTTCACTATTCTGATACTTTTATACACTTTTCTAAGGTCCACATTGTGTGACCACTTTTGCTATAATCTTTTGCTGCTGTAAAACCACAATTTCCCCATTGTGGGACAATTAAGGGATTTTCTATTCTATGCATAATCACTTCTTCTTTATTAGTAGGTCGGATCTTCACACCTAAAGCTGGCAAAATCAAAAATGGACTAGCTCTGTCCATAGACAGCAGATGCTAAAGTCTACACTGGGAAAAAAATCGAAATCTAAAGTCATTTTTTCTTAAAATAAGTGCATTTGTTCTTGGATTGAGGAGGTAAAACGGACATTTTGCAAATGGAACAAGACAATTTACACTTAAAATAAGAAAACACAACTGAATTGTCTTATTTTAAGTACATTTTATCCAATTATCTTATTTTAATTGTAAAAATACTCATTCAACTGGCAAATTATCATTTACCTACTCAAATTAAGGATAAATAAGCTTTAATTAAGATATTTTTTACTTATTTCTAGATAATTTTCTAGTGTGCAAATTGCATTAATTAAAATCAAAAATAATTTTTTTTTAAATAATTTCAGCAATGTTGTCTATTTTTACACCACACTTTAATAACACAATCTTCAGTGATCAATCCTCACATGTAATGCGGAAACCAATCAGAGAGATAATGAATGGTAATAATAACTGATAAGTTTCTAACACAGCTGATCAGCGGTGATGACCCACCTGCAATGACCGCCGGGTTGCTCTGCCCGCCCTCTGCTTTCACCCACAGCTCCACGCTGAACTTGTCCCGTGGCAGCTCCACTCCTTGGGCCAGTTTCACCTTCAGCTGCTCCCGGTGGCCCTTAAAGTACAGGGCAGTCATCCAAGAAGGGGGCACTCTCGGTAAGGGGGTGCCCCAGCTGTTAAAGGAAGAGTCTCCATCTGTTTCCTCTCCAAAGTAGTCCTCCGTGGCAACAGCATCCTCCAGCGTCCCCGCAGACGCCTGGTTGTCTCCGTCTCTGTCATCTTGCCTCGATCTGTGGAGGACCCCGTCCGCTGCAGAGATTTCTCGAGAAACTTTCTCCCACCTGGAGTTGTTGTCTTTCTCGCTGCGAAGTTTGACTTCGAGGCTGCGGGAAACCCTGGAGCGAGAGCCATGAGAAACTCCCTCCGCGCGCCGGGCATCTCCACCGGGATAATCTGGCTCCGTTTCCTGGTGTGCGTAACTGCGTTCATGAAACCGATCGGATAATTCTGGGTATCCTAAATCTTCAGAGTCACCCCTGCCTCCTTCCTCTCTCCCGGCCGGATCGGCCTCCAGCAGCCCGGTGTCAAACCCGCAACCTACGGGACAAACCTCTGGCGCGCCTTTGAGGGTGAAGGGCGAGATCCGAGTGGTGGAGGTTCTCACTGGGGCCGCTGGAGGGCGGTGTTGCGCCGGGGAGAGGGCGCGGGGCTGCCGCCGGGACGGAGAGACGAAGCAGGGTTCACCTGCTGCTGTCCTGGACAGCTCAGCGTCTGCGCGCCGGGCCAAGGAGCGCTTATGCCGGCCGAAGGCATCGGAGCGAACCGGGCTGAGCAGAAAAGTGTTCGTGATGAAAACGAGGAAAACAGGCAGTAGTCTGATCAACAACATTTTCTCTCCAGGATAAAAAGGTTTTCTTCTTCTTTTTTCTTTTTTTTAAGTTATCTCTTTGCAAGAGGTCTCACACTGGATTATTTGTGCGCATTTCTTAAGAAATATAACCGAGGATTTTATTTTTCTTAAATTCTTTATTAAAGATAACCCTGCCTTTAAAAAGATTTCTATAGACTATATTAGTGTATTCTAAAAAGAAAAATCACTTAAATGATATAAAGATCAAATGTCCTCCAGAAGAATTCCAGCAAACTATACATTTAAAAGTTTAAAAGGACGTTTAGAAGTTTAAAATAGACCTTTGGGTAAAATAAGCAAAGGGAAAGATGAACTGTATTACTTTGCATGATAGAAAAACACCGCACTTTGCCTCCTTCCTATTGGCGTCTACTCTGCAAAAATATGAGTCCTCTGATTCGCTTTTTGTTTACATGTAGTCAGAGAAGGTGGGGGGGTGGAAGGGTTGGAGGGGGACACATTAACCTTTCCTTGAGCCCCACAAGCAAAAACCACGCTGTAAAGACGTCACCAGGCTGATTTAGTGCGCCAAAATATCAACAGGGTGATTTAATTGCCCGGTAAGATGTGGCTGCAGATTGTTATCAGTATAAAGCTGGTAAAATGAGTTATTTCGTCCAAAAGTCCTTTTTCTTGTTTTCTAAATAGGTCACTACCTCTCGTTTACCTGACCATTGTGCCAACGTTTAGTCCTGCTCCAAAATGTGCCAAGGTGAGTCCGGGAAACAAACTCCAAAAAGAGGAGGGGGGGGAGATAACTATACAGTCTCTGTGATAGAAACTCTACTTTTAGAGCAACTGCGGTTTGAATTTATAAAAGAGAGAATAATAATAATAATAATAAAAAAGATCAGTCCATTAAATCACGCGTCAGCTCCTCTTTTGGTTTTGTTTTGCGTCTGTGTGCCACCCAAAGCGCGCCTCACTACTGCTGCTGCACCGGTCCATGCAGTAGTAATATCCTCCTTCATTCACTCTTCCATATCCCTCTCTCTCTCTCTTCTCTCTCTCTCTCTCACCCTTCCCCATTTGAGTCCAAAGGTTTTTATCAGGGAGCCCCTGCCCGTCCTGACATCACTGGTGGTGGAAGTGTGGTGCTGAAGGAGGAGGAGGATGAGGAGGTGGGGTTGGGATGGGATGAGGGGGGGAGCGTCTTTGCTTCTCACGTTAGTTTTCTCCACTGCCTCTGTATCCATCTGATTCAGACCAGAGACAGGAAAAGGAGTTGTGAAGGTTATTTATGTAAGAATTCTTATTTTTTGACCTAATCCATCCAGCCGTCCATCCATCACCCTCGGGTTGGTGTCCAGGTCCAGATTTAATCAATTTGCACTCCTTCAAAGTAGACTCATTGGGAGCTTTTTGTCATAAAGTATGATCTACTTGCAGAGCAGTTAACATAAAACTAAAGAAATTAGACTGAGTTGAGGAAGGTAAGGAACAGCTGCAGGACAAGTCAACTATATGTTGCATTCATACATAGAGCAATTCAAAGTGTTTCATATTGGATCAAAGCAAATGTAATCCAGTTTAATCATGAAATCCTGGTTTGAAAGAAACATGTTATGTTAAAAAGAATGCATCCTTGTTTAAATTGGAGGCTTATTTCAAATATGAATTGGACTTAGACAAACTTTATTGTCATTTCCGTTTATAAAGTGCAGCAGTGACCAAATGGGAAACAGTTTAGGAGAGACATGGTGCAAATGGCATTGATGTGGAAAGTTCAGAGCAGTGCAAAAATAAATAAATATGGTGCAAAATGCAGTAGAACACTGAGTTGAATGCTATTTAAGGAGATTTGAAAAATTTGCCAAGTAGTCCATGTAATCTTTACAGTGTGATGCATAGCCTCGATTTGTCTTACGGCAGCAGGAAGAAAGCTGTTGCAGAACCTGCTGGTCCTACATCGAATGCTGTTGGCTGCAGGGAGAACGGTCCATGGTGGGGCTGAGAGGAGTCGCTGATGATGTTACGGGCTCTGGACACGCAGCTTTTAGATGAAATTTCTTTCTGTATAAAATATGGATTAAATCATTATTCTATTAACAAAGGGGGATGCAAGCAAAACAATGACAGAAATCTTTCAAAGAGGGTTGCTTTCAACAAGTTATATAAATAAGACAGTTAAACAAGCTCCGGGAAATATCAAATGCTTCAGGTGTCTTAGCGCTCTATTTCTGAGAGCAGCATTAAACGGGGAACACCCATTTATGTTTTTCAGAGATCCTTATGCTTAAGCTGGTGATTGCATATCGCAGCACCAAAGAAAACCTAGAATTTTGTAAATATATACTACTTATTGGCACTTTTTACAGTTTTTATACCATCAAACTAGTGTATCGTGTAGCAACTTTCATTCATCATCTGCAGTAATAAACTTGGTATCAATCTGTAAAATCAATATAATTTGGTAATTTGGCTCTGCTGTTAGCATATAAACAGGTGTGTTTTTTTCTATTTTATAAAGATTCAGACATTAAAGGAGCATGTTTACACAGAGGTGAGGTGCAGCAAAGTTTTGATAACTAATGAATAATAGTAAATAATGAAAACTTTTGGCCGCTTGGCAAATCTGGCCTTTACAATCAAATTCCCAAATTGAAAATTGGAGTTTTTGCTGTACGAAGATTTCAGAAATCACACCACAGAAAGCACTTAACTTAGGTTAAGTGCTTTCCCAGATTTTCCTTCTGACATCCAAAATCAAACAAATGCCCCATAGGACTACACATCGCCTAATATGTGCATGTGCTTTTCTCCTAAAATAGTCCTGAATTATGGTAAGTGGGCAATCATTTACAACAAAATGATATATTATCTTGAATAATATAGTTAGTGTTATCAAACAAAGAGGTAACTGAGCAAAGTAACTCCTGGCAGAAATGTTGAAAATCAAGTGTAAATAAAGCACAAAAAATGTGCTGATGGGTGAGTAAGTATCACCAGTAGACGGCAACATCATAAAACAATGATGATGATTTCTGCTCCTTTTGCCCAGTGCAGAAATTCTTTTCAGGTTCAAGAAGGAGTAAGTAAACAATATAAGGAGGAACACAGAGACGCGCTGTATATAGGCTACTGCATATATCCAATGCACCTTTTTCTTCCTTTGGCACCTTCTTCTTCTATTTGAACTGATGTAACGAGTAAATTTCTCCACTGCGAGATCAATAAAGTCAATCAATCATCACATAGCATGTATTAATTTACTTTAATGGAAACAGGTGGTTTTGGGTGTAGACACTCTCATATTCTAAAGAATGATTTTGATCAGTTTACTTCACTGCCTTTTATCTGCGTTAGGGTGTGAACTGGTAAACATAAAAGTTGCAAATAAAAATACATGTTTTCAGATCATTTTGCATGTTTGATTGGTTCCTCTCTTGCTTTGAAGTGATTTTCTTTAGTGTTGGCTTCAGAAACTCAGTTTCAACCATCAGGCTCTAATCGAAGTAATATTTGATCTTGTGGAACTTCATTCTGCTTGCATCACTTTGTTTCTGTTGGCATTGTTTTCCTGTTGTTGTTAGTCAAGGTGCAGCTGGTTGAAGTACTTGGCATTCTGCTCTGCTGTTTGATCAAAAAATGGGTTAGAGTTCTAGGGATGAAAAATATCTTCTCAAAATGCAGTTAAACACAAATTGGAGTAATGCAAAGCTCCGCTGTCAACATGTAATGGATGATTGTTGGAGGTGGCTCAAATACAGATGGAAGAGGGGGTTGCAATTTTCTTTCAACCAAATCCATCTCTTACCTTTTGTCTTTTCTTCCTGTTTGTCTGTTCTCTTAATCTATCTCTCTCCGGCTCTGGCTCGCTGCAGCGGTACAACTCAGACAGACACAACATCTGTCCTCCACATGAAAAGCTTTCTTCCAAAATATGCTACCCCGTTTAAGCTGAGCTCTTTTTTTTTTCTTTTTTTTTTTGGTATGATCCAGGGTTAAAAAATAAATAAATAAAAGAACGGCTGGGAGGAGAGCAGCAGCACAGGGGGACATGGAGAAATGATGTGCATTGAATCGATCAACTGAGATTATCCTTAATATCTATGGATTTTCAAAATAGCAGCTTTCATACCTGATAGACCCTCAGAACTGAGGAGGAAATCTCTTAAGAAACAGACACTGTGGAGTTTATTATATATATATATAATATGTGATTTGTGTTAATTTTTTTATTTACTTAAACTCTAAAGAAGAGTTGCATTGACATTAATACTTTGACTGATCTAAATATAGAAATTTAAATATAAAATTGTATGTGTATTATCCAGGTTTAATAATTTGTGCTGCATATATTACATATTGTGGGATTATTTTCTTAATTTGTCTTCATCCTATAATTTTACCCATTTAGGGTAACCTGGTGGAACCGTTTGTAGCGCGTCGGCAGCACATCAACAAGGTCTCTACAGGTAACAAGGCCTCCTCTCACACACATTAAAAGAATAAAAATAAAAAAAATCCCATGTTAGGTTCTTTGGAAATTCTAAATAACCTTAGGATGTATGAATAGTTAATTGTTCTGTTTTTCTTTGTGATGGACTGGAAAGTGTTCAGAACTGCCCTTTTTTTCTCCTGTATGCAACAGTCTTATAACGATTAAGCAATCAACATGTTCAGCAGTTTTAAACATGTGCACTATCAATTTAACTGCTGACTTTTGCTGTTGGGGTTATGTTTTAAATCCCCCTTACATGTGCACTATTTGTTTGCAAAGTGTTCTTCTTATCAAGTAATGTGAGCAAGTTCCATTGGTTTTCCAATACTCTCCTTCTTGGTGATAACTAAAAAAATGAAAAATAATGCTCCTATAGGTTGTTGTTGTACACTCTATATAATGTTGTCACTTATTTTTCTTCCCCTTAGACCTTGTTTTTTTTTTCTTTGTCAGGCTCAATTTGCAAACAGGCCCCTGGCTGGAGATTGAGATGGCGGAGAAGGCCACTGGCAGTTATGGTAGGGGCCCCCGAAGGGGCAAAAAACAGTTCCTAAAAACTGGGAGGCAGGAATTCCTCAATCCCAGCCTGCCTGACGGAGGGATCTGCCTGCTACACTTAGTTTTGAAATCCAGCTGCAACTGTGCTGGGTGGCGCATAAAGAAGAGACTGCGACAAAAAAAAGGCTTGAAGGGTAAAGTTTAAAAAAGGAAAAGAAGGAAAGAGATAGAAGGGGGTTCAGGGTCTGAATAGGTGAGCTGCACTGGGGCCCCACCACCCACTGCAAGGGACCTCCGCAGATTATCCTTCATCCCAGCTTGTCCGTATGACCTCAACAACCCCGAGGCCTGTTCTCTGTCTTACCCCTTTTCCCTCACTTTCCTTTCGACACAGACACTCACACAAAAACACACGTTTCTCTCGTACCTCTGAGGCCGCTGACCCTCCAGCTCCACCCCGTTGATACCGCCACACAAATTCCCCAAAACACGCACACAGGCGCAACCTGGTTTCTCACACAAAAGAGAGGGGGATCCAGCGGGAGAAAATCTAGGCTGATGTGCAGGGCAAACAAGGAGGGGGTTTAATGAGAAAAAAAATGTTCAAGAGGGTAGGCTTTTCAGCTACCAAAACTATTATATAAAAGGGCTGCAGCAGACAAATGCAATGGGATGTACATAGAGCTGCAGGTGCTTGTCTGAATGCAATCAGAGACAGTTTCCTGAATGTGTGGGGCTATTAAGGCAACAGAGAATACCTGCTGTAAAAGTCTGAATTTAAATGCAAGTTAAGTTTTTTTTCCCCTACTTTTTTAAATAAAGTCTCCCCTTGAATGTTTTCAAATGAATCCTTGAGAAAGATGTGTGCCACGGTGGTCCTTTTCATAAAAAAAAACCTTTGCTTTTTTCCTGTTACTAAAAAACAGAAAAAAGTTCCATATTGATACATATAAACCTCTTCCACAAACAAAAACAGGGGAAAATCCAGGTTGTGCAGGCCTTCACGGAGGACCCCCTTGTTTGTTCACGTTGAGGTAATGATGGAAAAACAAGTAAGCCGGCAGGATGCCGCTAAGGTTTTATTTGCAGAGCTGCAGGTGGATGCCTGAAAGACGTGACTCTGTGTTTCTTGGCTCTCTAGCTCACCGGACTTTGTGAATGAGACCTACCAGCTTGTGCTTTATCTCAAGGCAGTAAAAAGGTTCCCATTCTGGATGTCAAGGTGGAATAAAACAAACAAAAAATTGATTAAGATTACCTTTATTTATTAATAAGAATCCTTTTATTTTTAAATGTAATTCTGTAATGGATCAGGTAAATATGAAAATAGATAATTAAATAGAAATGAAATACCGAATTTGTTTTGATAATTGGGGAGAGAAAGAAAGAAAGAGAGAAAAAGTCTAGATTCTGTGGGGTTTTTTGTTATGATCTGTGCATCATCTTAGCTTAATGCACCCAATTAGTCTGTTGTTTCCTTTTAGCAACCACAGGTGGTGCTAAGAAGACATCAGATTTTCAGCTTATGATTCATATAAAGGGCTGTTTTGATGTTCATTCAGAACTTACATTTGAGCATCACTTTTCAGGAATTCAGTTTAAAGAGCTGTATCTTTTGATCATGGATCAAATGCACAATTTCACTCTTAGTGGACATTCTTTAGAATTGAATGCATGCAAAAAAACAAGACAAAATGTTGTTTTATATCTGTAGTTTAGTTATTATGGATAATTCAATATGCAAAAGAAGGAAGTACATCACACCATGTAAAAAAATGCCAGGACTGAATCTTTACATAAATAAACAATGTTTGAGTATATATTGGTGGTTAGATAAATTCAGTCTGGCATTACCATCGTTTTGAAAAGAAAAATCATCATTACTAAAATAACAATAATTATAAGAATGATCAGAAAGAAAAGAATGTTTCTCTTTGCTGTCATTTTTTTAGGTTCCCCTTAGAATGAAATAAAAAGAAAAGAAAAGTTTGGTGCTTTGGAATAAACAATAAAAGAGAATCAAATGTCACTCATATAATAGATTAGGGAAGAAAATTAAAGAAAAAATCCATCTGAAAAACACTAATATCAATGCAGAACCACTGGTGTTACCTGGGTTGTCTTCCCTGGTCAAAATAAAAAAAAAGTCCCTTTTAACCTTTTCTTTTATAGGGTAATTCAGAAGCATGTTACATCCAAGCTTATTAACCATATAAAGAGGTAAAGATGAACTGTTAAAAAATCCTCTCTTCTTTAAACAGTGTCTCAAAAAACTATTTTAGAGAAAAATATTGTAAAAAAAATCCAAGTTTAAACCAAAGCCTGCAACCATGAAACCCTAGAAAACTCTGGAAACTCTTTTTGAGTGCAGAGGACACTCCTAAAGAGCTTCTATGACTCTGTTGTGGCATCAGCCATCTTCTTTGGGGCTGTCTGTTGGAGCAGTGGCTTATGTGTAGCTGAGAGAAAGCAACTGGATAAGCTGATCAGAAAGGCCAGCTCTGTGATTGGATGCCCTCTGGTCTCTGGTGCAGGAGGTGGGAAACAAAAGTACCCTAACTAAAAGAGTTAAAATACAATCCGCTGGACTTTGTTTCCAAGTTTGAAGACGTTTCCCTTCCCACCCAGGAAGCTTTTTCAATTCAAAATGTCAGGAATAGCGTTGAATTCAAGTTGTTTTATGTCTCCCACCCCATGCATAAAGCTGTTGCTGAACTGGAAAGCACTTTCAGCGACAGACTGTTTCACCCTAAATGCACCAGGGAGCGTTATCACAGATCCTTCCTCCCAGCTGCTGTAAGACTCTATAACCATCATTGTTCCCAACAACCTCAATAAGTTGTTACATTCATGCTGATTTTTGCAGTTTCTGACCTAGTCAGTTATATAAAATGCTGCCATCAGTTTTTGCTCATTCTGGTGTTGCTGCTATTTTTCACATATCCATTAGTCTAAAAATGTCCACAGCTGTTATCGATTTTTGTCCTCCAGATACAGAGTATTATATTATAAAATACTGTTCTGTTCAATACTCTGTTTGTTTTATTTTCCTATCTGTTATTTTTATACACTTTTCTAAGGTGCACATTGTGTGACCACTTCTACTATAACCTTTGCTGCTGTAAAAACCACAATTTTCCTATTGTGGGACAATGAAGGGGATTTTCTTTTCTATTCTATTCCAATCTATTCTATTCTGAACCAAGAACATATATATCTCTGAAGTTGAAACATTGGTCTGGGAATCAATCCCAAGTGAAACCTGCTTTATTTACAAGTTAGAGCTTTCAACAGTGAAATAAACATTACCATTTAAAGTGCAGCAATGATCATCATGAAAACAGTATAGAAGAAAAAGAAGAGCCATTAAAAAAATAATGGTGCAAAAGGACATTAATATGGAAAGGCAAAATAAATATTGTGCAGCGTTTTTTGTTGTTGTTGTTGTTGTTGTTTTTTTTAATTATGTTTAATATTCAATTCTTGTTCAACTTTAGAATAAAAATCTTACATAGCTTATAAATAAAAATTGGCCCGATATGGGTAAAACGTCAGCCAAAAACTGGCTTTATATGAGTTTATCCACCGTTGCATATTCACCCATTATCAACTGCCTATATAAGTCTGATTTAGAACTATGGAAGCTAGATGTGCCACTATAAATCGATTTCAGCATGGAGAACTGTACTGAGAGAAATGTGTCCTGCAAACCTCCATCCCGCGAGGGGGCGGTAGTTGAAAATTAAACGCACAACGACTATAGGTAGTTGAGAGTACTCACTTTCTGTAGCTAATAATACAAGCTAGCCGGGTAATCATCTGTTCAACGCAGTTGGGCTTATTTTAACGTCCGTCCCAGTATTTGTTGTTTTCTTTTATCGTGTTTCATGCACAGCTGACTGTATGAGGCGTCGTCAGTGAAAACCAGGAGACATATAACCGTTGAAAAGAATTAAACGCGCAGTGTTTGGCCACTGTTGCCTTTCCCCAGGATGCTAGCACATAAGCTAGCTAGCTAGCCCGCAAACCTGCTAAAGCATCTGCCCAGATGATTTGAACAGCACCGCGGCAGATTTTTGGTGGAGTATTTTTAATTTTTGTTTGTTTAGTTTCTTTTGACGGCTTTACAGTATGTCTGGCAGCCGACCACAACAGAGCGGTGGTGGAGTAAGTTCAGTGCCTGGTACCAGCAGCAGTAGTAGCAACAACAACAGCAGCAGCGATGCCGTTACGAGTAACGGGCCCGCTGCTGGGAATCTTGTACCCTCTCGGACACTGGCTGCAACAAGCGGGGGAGGTAGCTTCGCATCCTTAACAACAAGTAGACCATCCGCTTCAGGCAGCAGAAAGAAGTCCCTCCACCAGGCACCTCTGTACAACGGCCTCTTGAACTCATACGAGGATAAAAGCAACGACTTTGTGTGGTCAGTTTCCAATCAAAGTTAACATGAAGCCTTCTGTTTGGGAATGTCATTCAGAGTAAGTTCGAGAGTTGAATCTTAATAGAGCCTTTCTCCCTCTTTTTTCGCCCCCAGTCCCATTTGCTTCGAAATGATAGAAGAGGCACATATGACAAAGTGTGGACACAGTTTTTGGTAAGTCCTAAAAGTGGATTCGAGGTCAAATGGTTAAGTTTCTATCCAGACGTTGTAAATGTATCCCAATTGCATTGGAACAGGCTCGTTTATCTGTAGTTTTTATGAAATCCATAATGCATAAAAGTACATGGTGCTGTTAATTAATTTACAGACTAACACAGGAGAAAGTTCTGAAAGTTTTGATGCGTTTAAAGAATAAGGAAGTAAATGTAATTTTGCAGTATTTGAGCATCAGATCATCAGTCAATGTAAAATGGGCTTATAATGATTCATGTCCTCTACTCTTTATCTTTCTTGTATGTTTACTTGTATTTTGTATGGCTAGGTTTGACATAAGGCATTTCTTATTTGCACTTTAAGATAATGTAGGGGAAGTCCCTGCTAACTTACTCTTTGTTTTTGTCAATGTCACCCCTGAGTTTTTAAATTTAGCAACAGCACATTAGCTTTTCAGTACTTGCCAGAGAAAGGATTTAAATTCAAATAACTTTCATAACCTCCAACCTCCTTACATGAAGAATCACTCTTTGTCTTTCTACTTCCTACAGTTTCAAATGTATCCGCCAGAGCTTGGAGGACAGCAACAGATGTCCTAAGTGTAACTATATTGTTGACAACGTGGATCAGCTGTACCCTAACTTTCTTGGTGGGTTTTTTTAGTTGCAAGCATAGCCATACCAATTTTTAGTGAATGCCTTGAGTTTATAATGCATATTTCTCTAAGGTGCTCAAATATAAACATAATATAAAGAGTATTCACAATTATCCAAATATAATCCTTTAATTTAAGGCAATCTTCTAAAAAGATGATACTAGTGTCAGATGTTTATTGATCGGTCCCATATTGCATTGTTGATTATGTTTCACATTATAACATCTTCCTTTTTTAATACTCAATTTATTCTCTGTTTTACCTCTTTCCCAATTGTCCAGTAAATGAACTGATTCTTAAGCAGAAACAAAGGTCTGAGGAAAAAAGACTAAAATTAGATCATCCTGTAAGTACAGCTTTGTTTATACCTGCTTTGCTTCCTGCCCTGGATAGTTTGCTTCATCCTCACTGGCTCTAAAATATCACCTTTGCTTTCCCTGACTACCCTCTCTGGTCTTTAGAACTGGCCACGTTGGCAGGTCTTCCAGGACATTTTAAGCCCTGATCAAGAAAACTTGGACCTTGCGAACGTCAATCTGATGTTGGAGCTTTTGGTTCAAAAGAAGAAGCAGCTAGAGGCGGTAAGTGAAAGTGGAGGAAGGGGTTCCTACTGAATACAAACAGATTGGTTACGAGATTTCATGATATGATTTTTTACATATGTGGTATATAAAAATGTACAATGTGCCAGTCTTTTTGCGCTTTCTATAAATTAATTAGATGGAAAACAATAATTTTTCAGTAAATAATTAGTGAAACCACATTTGCCATCAAAATAGATTATTTTTTAAATGGCATATAACTGAGTAAATTGTCAGCCAGCTTTAT